CCCCAAAACCCCAAAACCCCGCGCATAAATATTATTGAAATTTAGTTAAATTTAAGTATATAATATTTAAAATCTAAATGGATTATAGAAGTAGAGACCGTGGAGGTCACCAAGGAAGAGGAGAAGCATTTGGAAGAGGTGACAATAGAGGCCACAGAGGTAGAGCTGAAGGGCCGAATAGAGGAGGCTCAGGATTTTCATCAGCACCTTAAATATTCTAGGGATAAGTAGGACAGCTTACAACTCTGCAATCAAATCATCACAGAATGAGCACTATAAAAGAACATGGAGTGTTTCATGTCTACAGGCTAAATTTTGCTCCAGAACCTAGGTTTAGCTCAGAAAAATCGTCAATAATAAAAAACTCAAAATAAGCTCTTGAAACTATTTATGGTTAGATCTACTCTTACGGAAACGACCTTTTCTCAATTTTTGAGGTTAGGTAGGTGCATTCAATTATAAAATCTTTAACCAACATTTTTTAACTTTAGAGAGGAACAGATTATAAACTCTTAATTCAAAGGATCTCAATTTGAGGTGATCATAAATTACGAAACATCATTCTCCCTCAGTTCCTAAGATAAAGAGCATTAAAAATACAAAGGGAAAATTTTGAACTTTATATAAGTAGCAATAAAGAAAACGCTGTATGAATTCTAGTTCAAACAAGTAGGAAGGCTTCCTAGGTTTTATCTGCATACAGATCTTTAGGATGTAGCAAACTATAATTTGCGTGTTTGGTCAGGCTATTCTATGGCAGTTTAGAGTTTTAATGATGGAATATTCGTGAACATTGATTGTGCTACAAAATTTGTTGAAAAAAGTTCTGTCCTAGATTTAATTAGAAGACTGTAAAAAGACAAATACTCTCAAGCAGATATCAAGCAAGAGCTTGTTCCTAAAGATTAGAATGAGAAAGGACTAGTAGTCATTACCATGTACAACTCCAAGAAATATCAAATTGATGATATTCGCTTTGACATTACTCCTAAAAACCACATCTTTGAGTATGAAATCTATGATCCTGAAACAAAGCAAAGATATAAGCATAAGTCTAACATGGTCGAGTATATGAATAAAAAAAATGGAATAATCATTCCTGTATAAGATTAAGATCAGCCAACTCTGCAATCAAACTATAGGGATATTACCATTTATCTAATTCCTTCATTGTGCTTCAAAGATGGACTAGACAAAAATTTTACTAGTGACTCAAGGAAAATGAGGGATCTTCAAGAATACAAACTTAGTCATCCTGAATAGAGATACGAAAGGATTAACTAATTGATTGAAAAATTTTAAGCAGCTTAAATTCTTGAGAACTGGGGATTAAAGATAGATGCCAATTTTACTAATGTCAAGGCTAAGCAGCTTCCGCCACCTAAAATCATCGACAATCGTAATAATGAACAGAATTGGTCAGATTACGAATAAAGAAAGGTAAAGCCTTTAGAATAACTTAAACTTAAGAAAGAAACTTGGGCCTTAATCTATGGGTCATTAGATTTTGACAATGCCAATAATGCGATGTAGATGTTTAAACAAGTTGGATCTTAACATAGTTTTATCGTGGAGGAGCCATAGTACATTGAACTTCCTAGAAATGATAATGGTGATTTGTTTGTAAATGGCATAATATCAGATATAGATCCTAAATACATATCTATTGCTGTTGTGATATTTGGAAAAAGACAAGGCCCTGAAAAAGCTAAAATAAAAGCTCAACTAGATCTAATGGGAATCCCTTCATAATTTATGTGCTCACAAACTATTTAGTCAAAAGGAAAAAATGCATCAATTTTTGCAGATACTCTTAAGCAAATGAGTGCTAAAATGGGATTAGATTTGTATAACTTATCCTTACCATGCTACAAAAAGACTATGGTTATTGGAACTGATGTAGTAATTTCAAAAGGCAACACTATCATGGGAATGACAGCTTCATATAACTTACAATTATCAAAATATTACTCAAGAGTTGATACACATAAAATGCCTAGTAGAGAATCTGGTTAAGATTAAAGATCATAGGATGAAAAACAATAACTGATCACTGAGAGTAGGTGTTAAATTCTCTGCAAATTCATTAAAGATTCTTTACAAAATTATCAACAGTGTTAGAATGGTCCATATCCTGAATTAATTGTGATTTACCGAGATGGTATTGGAGGTGAATCAATGTAAGATAAATGCTAAGAATTTGAAATAACTAGAGTGATAGAGGTAATTCAATCATCATTTGAAGGATATAACCCTGCGATAGTCTATTGTTTTGTAAACAGAAATAACTAGCATAGACTATTCGCTAAGTATAATGGTTAGATTATGAACCCTTCATCAGGAACAGTGTTAGATATAGGGCTTGTTGAAAATCAAGGAGAAAATACTTTTGATCTATAAATGATAGCTCCTAAGACTACAGTTGCTACTGCTTAACCAGTATAGTTAAGAGTTGTGTATAACACATCTAACCTGACAAAAGACTAATTCGAACTTAGCACTTACCATTTGTGCTTTAACTATGTGAACTATTGTGGTCCAATTAAGGTACCTTCTGTTTGTATGTATGCCAAGAAAATAGCGCAATATGCTGCTGACAACCAAATAAGGCCTAATGATAAGTTAGGTCATCTACTACACTTTATTTGAGTTAAGGCTATTAAATTGAGATCGATGCTCTTGGAAAAATATGCGATCAAATCAATTGCGTAGAAAATAAATACAGAAAAATGTTAATTTATTTGTCATTTTAGAATAAATCTGAAGTATGGGGTTTTGGGGTTTTGGGG